TGGCTGGAGAGCTGTCTGGCAGAAAAGGACCTGGGGGTGTTGGTTGACAGCTGCCTGAACATGAGCCAGCAGTGTGCTCAGGTGGCCAACAAGGCCAATAGCACCCTGGCTCGTATCAGAAACAGTGTGGCCAGCAGGACTAGGGAAGGGATCGTCCCCCGGTACTCGGCACTGGTGAGGCCGCACCTCAAATACTGTGTTCAGTTTTGGGTCCTGCACCACAAGAAGGACACTGAGGTGCTGGAGCATGTCCAAAGAAGGGCAACGAAGCTGGTGAAGGGTCTGGAGAAGAAGTCCTATGATGAGCAGCTGAGGGAGCTGGGATTGTTTAGCCTGGAGAAGAGGAGGCTGAGGGGTGACCTTATTGCTCTCTACAACTACCTGAAAGGAGGCTGTAGCGAGGTGGGGGTCGGTCTCTTCTGCCAAGTAACAAGCAATAGGATGAGAGGAAACGACCTCAAGTTGCACCAGGGGAGGTTTAGGTTGGATATTATGAAAAAATTCTTCACCGAAAGGGTTAGCAAGCACTGGAACAGGCTGCCCAGGGAAGTGGTTGAGTCACCATCCCTGGAGGTATTTAAAAGAAGGGTAGATGTGGATGTGGTGCTTAGGGACATGGTTTAGTGGTAGAATTGGCAGTGGTTTAGGTTTACGGTTGGACTCAATGATCTTAAAGGTCTTTTCCAACCTAAACGATTCCATGATTCTATGAACCAACATAGCTATAAAACCAGTGCTAAAAAAAATGACGTCTCAGCTTGCTCCAGTAGAGGCTGGAGTGAGATATGTCAGGTGAGAGCTCACCAAGCTCACTCTTGCCTAGCTTTATGTTTTTTTCTAAAGTCGTCATTTCCCAATACCTCCTGGGACTTTCTAGACCCAAGTACCAGTGGGGTGAGGACAACTTTAGCTGTCTCCCTCAGCATTGACACAAAGTCAAAACACACTATTACAGCAATTATTCTCAGGTTAACATATATGTTGAAACACTTTTACAAGCATTTTGTTCCAGTTTCCCAAATTTACAGACTTTAATACGTGTGCAAATGAAGGCCAGGAGGAAGGAGGCGATTGTGGCCTTTTTATATTCACTATTTATTGTCAGTCTGTTTACTTTCACCTTTCTCCCCATGCTACAGTTTATGTAATTTTTTATACATGCATTTAACCATTTGAGTGCTTTGTTGACACTGTCTGTTTCAAACATACTTGACTCTAATGCCATTTTTCTGATGTCCAGTCATCAGACTCACAAGACACTTCAAGATGTTGGAGGAGTCGTTCTTTGTTCTCCACATCCTCAGACATTATAGTAGCTGAGAACTATGAAAACAGCACTCTCATTTATTTCCCATCTATCTTTACAATGAGAACTGCAGCACAGGCATCTGTGATCGTCAACGGAGTAACTCGGGTATTGTATTGTGGAGAGGAGCATCTTGGGCTCTTTCTCTTCCCACTGCTATCTCTCCAGTTAAAAAAAAAAAAAAAAAAAAAAAAGCATCATGCAAATGGTTAAAGGCTGCTTGTCTGCCTTTAGGAGGATGCAATGAGACAAAGCCCAGCATCTCTATGTTCTGGCTGCACATTCGCAATCCATCAGTGTCACTTCTGGTTCTTACCTGTGCATTCCTACACTCCATGCACTGATGCTGACCCAGGACCTACCTCAGGTTGACTCCAGTTTCCAGCTTTGTAACGTGCACTGGAAGTACCACCGAGATTATTTGAATTGGACAGAAAGACTTCCTTTCTCCCTCTTGAGGTTAAAGCCAGACCAGCTTGGAACCTCTTGCTCGGAGCGACTGCTCCTTATCCAAACAACTTCTCCTTCCCAGACAGCTCTACAATACGCCGTGTATCCCCAGCACCTCCCAAGCACGGCCGACACTTGGTCTCCAGCATCAGCAGATGCTGTTCCAAAAAACAGAGAAACCTGAAAGCACAGAAGAAATTAAGCACCTCTTGCTACCAACCTAATCCAGCCTAAAGCTGTTAGCCAGAAAGCAGTCCCTGTGGCTAGGCTGCCAGCCCAGGAATCGAGAGATACTGTGCAGCTCCTCCACGCTGCTCGCCTGTACCACTTCCCATCCATTTCCTTCTAGACCAAGTCAGTCTTCTGAAACAAAAAGAGCTCTGTTAAAATATACCTTTTCCATTAAATCAATAGAAGTCCTTTCAGTTTATGTCCCAGTCATCTGGAACGGGCTCTTCTGGCCTTTTGGGGAGGGAGGAATTTACATCCATGATTAGCCTTTCAAACAAAAGCAGTTACACCAGATGGAAACCAAGGGCTATTCCCTTCCACAGCATTGCAGCACGAGACATCCCTAAATGTGGTTCAGCAAAGAGAGATGACAAGTCCTGGTATACCCTGGGCACGTGGACTATATCTGCTGTTTTTCTCAGGAAAATTAAATTCCTTCTGTTTGTCTCAGTTTTTGGGTTGTATCAGTTATTTTAGGAATTTAAGTAGTTTCTCCTGTGTAGAAAGTAGTTTCTCCTTCTCTGTATTATTTATGCTATTAACCTTTAATAGACCTTGCAGTAAAGATAGGCATATGGGCCCCCTGGGGTAGATTTGTTTTGGTCGTTGCCTCTACAACATCCTCTTGGGAGGAAGGAGAGAGCAGGGAGCCTCCCCGGCCGCACATCCTGCAGCAGAGCAATGCCCAGTGAGGTCCCCAGACCCATCCTGCTCCAGCAGCCGAGCACCTAACCCCACTCGTGTGTGCTTCCGTGTCCCTCAGAAAAGCAACCATGCCTCAGCACGTGACCACGAGCCCATGGGGTTGTAGCTGCTCTCGTTTGTAGAAGGGAGTTGTCTAAGCGATGCCCCACGCACAGCGAGACCACGTCCTCTGCCATCTCTGGAAGCCCCTCACCTGCAGGGTGTGGGACCAGCAGCAGTTAACACCAGCCCTCTCCTGTCCCTCTGCAGATGCAGCACACCTGGAAGTACTTCCAGTACTGAAAAGGACAGAAATCACCTGGCCTTTTCACATACAGCAAAAAAAAGTTATAAAAAGAAAAAAAGGAAAAAAACATTTACCAACACTTTTCCTTAAAAGAAATTTGCACTTCTTCAAAAGCTGGAAAAAGACATCCATTTTCCTTGGAGAAGGAGACTCATTTGCAGAACATGTCCGTTTTCTCCCTGGCTTCAAGGAGAAGGTTGTCACCATATGTGTGCAGCTGCTGCTTTCCCTGTAGGGCCGAAGATGGCATTTCCACATCACCTTTGCCTTCTCCACGTTATTCAGCACAGGGCAGAGTGAGACCAAAATAATGCAGCAGGCATAGTCCCTGTCCACTAGGGCTGGATGAATTTTCAAAGGCGGCATCTGCGCTTCATTGCATGTCCCACAGTCCATTTCCCAGTGCTGCACTTTGGGTGAAGTACCGGGCCAGGCAACGGCTGGGCACCCTCTTCCCTTGTGTCCTGGGTGCCTCTGGCACAGCACCTGGGGAGAACGCCTTCAGCACATATGTCACCAAGTGTATATACTACAGTAGGATTAGAGACTTTCTAGAATCACTGGGTCATTTGGCCTGGCCTCGCATGCCTCCCAGCCAACCCATTTAGATCCTGCCACATTGCTTCCCAAATTTGCAGTAAATGGAGGAGGTGAGCTCCATCCTGGTCCCAGCTCTGGTGACCAGCTCATCCCTTGGTGCAGAAACGAGGCACGACCAGGATGACAGGAGAAGGATTCCCTGTGCCACCTCAGAGCAGGGCTCCCATCCCCACCTCTTGCCTCTGAGCAAAATAAATTGCACAACCAAAGATAATTGGCCCAACTATGCTGTTACCTAGTGCTGTAAGTCTTCCTGGTTCTGCTGAAGTCCTGAGATGTTCAAGGATTCCCAGAGGTCATTTCAGGGCAAAAACACCAGGGCTGGGAGGGTGCAGAAAGCTCTCTTGCATTGGGCTGCACCATGAGCCTGACAGATCCTGAAGGAAGAAGCCACATCTGGGTTCTTCCCCTGAACAGCAAATGTTTGCTTTGGAAAGTCTATGATAGAGAAGGGCTGGAGCAGGGGCCACCAGGCAGAGTGTTTCTCCTGTGCACCAGAACTTGCCACCCAACTGGCTTGAGCAAGGTGTGGGGAAAACCCTACGATGCCAACGTCCCTGGGGCCAAACCCCTCCCGTTCATTTCTGCCTGGTGCTCCTAACCATTGTCACTAGCTAAAAAATGCCTAAAAGGGAAAACTGCCTGGGAGGGAAAACCCCACCTTGCAGGAACAAGTGCATGCTCCTCCACATGTCTGAACACACACTTCGCCATGTACACACAACCAAGAGCCTCAGTGGACCAAAATAGCACCTGAGCACACAAGTGACCTGCAAAAGCAGCCAAAAAAATCAGTTTTCAGGTCATTCCTGGGCACACAACGAAGTCGAGTCTGTGGGACCCAGCACGACATAAAATAAGGCTAACCCATGCAACCTCTGCTTCACAAGTCGTAAAGCTGGGGTGGAATTTCTCTCCCTTTTCTTCTTGGTAAGCATTTACCTTCTGTGGCTGTTGGATGCGAGTGGAGGCCAGGCTGCCATCATATTAGGCTGGGATTTGGGTAGGAGGGGGAGGGAGCTAATCCTTTTTTCATCACATTAAATTAAACTATAAACTATACCTTTTAATTCCTTCTAATTAAATTTCTCACTGGAAAACAGAAATGATATTTCTTAATATTTTTTCACAAAACATGGCAGGCAGCATTTTGGAAGAGATGTGCCTCGGCACTGCAGGCAGCTATCCACAGCGTTGTGGGACAGACCTGGGGCTCTCCGAGAGCTGAAGATCATTCCACAGCTGGCAGCTCACGAGTCCATCACACATGCTAGACTGGCTCACCTCCACACGTGCATTCAGACTCCAGGAAGGGGGGAGAGTGCAAATTTGGCTGAGACAGGGTCCAGCCATCTAGGATATGCTAGCCCACCCCCTTGGACTCTTCTGGCAGAGAAGCATGCATTCCAAAAAGCCCTTGAAACACCCAAGCAGCCCTGCATTTGCTGGGCTTTCCACAGCCATGGTCCAGCCCTCTTCTACAACCACAGCAGCAATATCAGGCTGCAGTGGTTGCCTCCTCAGTGGATGGATCCAAGGTGCTTTGCGGGGGGTGGGGGGGGGGGGGGGGGAAATCCCCGGGGCTTTTCAGTTTTTAAAGCAAAGCTCTTTGGGAGCCCAGTTTCAATTAGTTTTCAATGGGCTGCATCCCCTAAATGACGAAGGGGCTGGCTGGCTTACAAATGCCAGGCTTTTCTCTACCAACACAGAAATATAGCTAGAGCTTTGCAATTCTAAAGCATTTAAAAGTAATTGGCATTTTCCCCTTTAAGTTCCAAGATGTGCTCAAGGGAAGTAACCCAATAGGCAGGAGACCGTCTCTGAAGCCTCTGAACTATTCTGGCTTCATGAAGGAAGAAATCCAATACAGCAAATTGCAGCAGGGAGTCAGCTGAAAGCAAGGGCAGGCCATGAAGGAAGCAACGTGTCCCTCTCAGTCCTCCTGGCTTAGCAAGCAGAAGGAGTTTCCATCTGCTCTTCAGATCCGCAGCAGCACAGCAACCCAGTATCGCTGAGCCAGATCAGAGGGAGCTACAGCAAGATCAGGCACCAGCTCAACAGAGTGGAGAAACCCAGATCTGACTTGGGTACGTGTGCATCACGGCTGTGTTGGAGGTTGTATGTCCTGGGTTGCACACACGTGATCAGGAATTTCAGATTTCAAGGTAAAAATAATGATGCTGGTGTTCCTTTTGCCCAAGCTGGTGAGGATAATGAGATGTGAACGGTGGTTGCGCTGTCTTCCCGGGTCAGCAGGCAGCCTGGAGCCACAGTTCGGGAAGAGACAAACTACACAGCATTTACCCCCAAGGCTGAAACACAAACACTCAAGTGCCAGCTCTGGCAAGAGCTGCTCATTTGCAGAACTGTTAATTCCACATCTACATGCCCCCAGGCAGGACCACGTCCCATCAGAACCAAAACAAGAGCGAGCTCTGCCCTTGAGCGAGCTGGTTGAATTAGAGAGGAACCCTGGCAGATAGCTTCCATGAGATGGGAAGAGACATCTGATCTTGTAGCTAAGGTGCAGGGTGCGAGACTGAAGGACTCATAAACTCATAGATGGGTGAGACAAATCTCACAACTTCAGACACCGGCAAAGAAAACAGCCTTACCTGAGCTTTCTTGCCCAAGGCTAGCTACTCTTGCAGACAAGGCAGAGAAATGGGTTTTTCTAGGGAGCCCTATTTTTGAGCTAAGCCTGACAATGAGGTGAATTGAAGAATGCTCAAGAAGTGGGTTGAACCTAGAAGCAGCCTAGGTTGAACCTAGAAGCAACCTAGAAGAGCCAGCACATTTGGACTCAGGACACCTGGCACTGGTGTCTCTGGAATTGAGGGCTGAAGGTTCCAGGTGAGCAAAGGTCCCTCACAACCACAGTTGGACCCTCTGGTACCTAAACTCTGTCCGAGTCCCATTACACACACCTCAACCCTTCAGGCTTCCTTTCCCCTGCACCACTGAACACAGAACTAAGCCTCTTCCATTCCCACCCTAGGGAACTGTCTCCAACACCCAGAGCACTCACTGATGTCCTCAGATGGAGACCTCTGAACTCACCCCACTGTTCCCTTCCACCCTGTGCCAAGCCCACCTGATCTGGGGAGGTCCTGTCACCTCACCGGTGTCCCTTGCTGGCTAGCCACTGTGTTTCAGGATCCTGCCAGCAGCTCTACCTTTTCAGCTGAGAAATATTCTCCATCCCTAACCTAGAGGGGCTGGCAGCTACCTCCCGACCTGCACAAGAGAGGAATGTCAGGCACGTCATGAAATACAAGTCCTGCTTCCCAGAACTGTCAGGCTCCATTAGCACCAGGAGGGCCTGACAATGTAAGGGTTTTAAACCCCAAACCACTGCGCTAGCAAAGTTTCCCTTGCTAATGAACCACCCACAAGCTGAAATACAAGCCCAAGGCACGGGCAAGGCGTTGTGTGCAAGAGAGACACAGGCAGGCATGCGCACACAGACATTCTTCTCTATCCATTTACAGAGAGGCTCCTTTCCCCTTTGCGAGGCACAGCGGTTTATTTGCTTTTTCGGTGCTGCATCCTCAACCTGCCTTTAAAATTAAACCAAGCCTCAGCTCCAAGGCACTATCTTTGTTCCATCATAGCGGAAAACAAAGGAAACCTAGTCAGAGCGCCATCTAAGACTGCAGGAGAGGTTAGACATGTTATTAAACCCTAACACTAAACCATTCTTGTTTAATGTGATATTTGATGCTGAAAGCATAAGAAAAGAGCTGCATAAAGATGGAAGAAGTCATCCCTAAGGTCTCCCAGGAATCAAATCAGTGCCTCCAAGCCCCAGGCATATTATATGAGCCCTAGGCTTTCCACTCCGACTCAGGAGACAGTCACTTCTAACGCAAGGACAGATGAATGCATGGGTCACGTCACCACACGAAGAGCATGCAGCACCCATCAGCAGGGGGAAGACGAGGAGATGGGGTCTGGTGAAGGGAACTTTGTCAAATGGAGTAGCTGAGGGAAAGGAAAAGTCATTATTTAAATCCTGTTCAACCAGGGCAGAGCTGAAATCATTTCATGTCCCTGGAGAACACCTGAAATACCCTGCTACTGGTCTCCTGTTACTGCTTTCCTGCCAGCCCTGTGCTCCAGCAGTACCACGCTGGTCTTGTCTGTGGATGCAGAAGGGGTGTGGGAAAGGCACCAAGGCGGTGACAAAGGCTGAGGGACTGGCAACAAATCTCTCTGTGCTTTTAAAGGGTGGCTTCTAGCAGTGGCAGCAGAAGCACCGAGGGACCAGGGGCTCATGGGGTCAAACACCTTCTAAGCAGGGGTCTGAGCAATCCAACCAAGCCCTGTATTTTTTGATGCAAGTATTTAAAGGGAGAAGGGAGGGAGCATTCAAACTGCTCCAAAGTTTGAACGCAGGCTTTCACCATCAGTTCTGGGCTCTGGGGATTCTGGTGGACATCCTGAACCCCTTTTCCTTCGTGTGATGAGACCCAGGATGCAGTGGACAGGCTCCAATCCTGGGTGAGAAGCAATGCACGGTAGGAGAGGGTGGCAGTGCAGGGCTGGGTCACTGCAGGAGTCCTGCCTCTCTGGACCCTACCTGCAATATTGCTTCACCATTTAAGTTCACATATTGAAATAAAAAAAATGAAGTGACAATTCAAAAGCAAAGACCATAGTGTCATATGCTGTTAAGAACAGATCAGAATATTTCTCCTATTGCTTCACAAGTCCCCTACTTCCTCACCACTCCCACCAAAACCCCATGCAGCAAAGCATCCTGCCTGTATTTAACATACTAAATACTCACGCTATTTGGTGGTGATCCGTTTGGTAGGTTTTTCGAGGTCCAGATACCAGAAAAAGAAACCAAGAAGAAAAAAAAAACACCCACAGATTTGCCAATCAAAGGAGGGAACAAAAAGGATGCTAGCACTTCATACACAATCCAAACAATATGGGAGGAGAAGATGTGCTCCCACATTACAAAAATCTTGAGAGAACAGCCTTGCAGGGGACTAAAGCCTTCTGTGCTCAGTGCAGTGTCATATAGTTGTGTCTACGCTAATACACTTTGCAGATTTAGGAATAAGTAAAGCTGGACTCTAACGTGCAGTACACTCAAGAGGTCATTAGGAAAACAGTACAGACATCTGCAGTTAACTAAAAAAATCAGTGGAATTATTCACGTACAGAAAGTTACAGGAACATGCATTTGGGAGGAAACAGGTACTTAAATTAATCCTTTCCAAATGAACATATGCAATAAAAATGGAATTAACACCTGTGCAGATAAAATACTTCTGCTCCCTTACGTGGTGATGCTCGTATTGCATTTTCAGTTGTTCCTAATAAGATTCCTGATAGCTCTGAAAACATGACATCATCTCTGTAATGGTGCAAAGAATTGCAAGTTACACAAGGCTTTACTTCTTGATCTTGTGGCATTGTTTTGTAGATAATTTTCCCTGTTAATAACAAATAGGATTCAGGAACCTTCTGATCTGCAGGAGATTGGAACATTTTTTTAAGGGGGCAAAAGAAGTATCTAATACCCATTTTTCATGACAACGTGTTCAAAAGTAACCTCAGTGGAAATGAGAAGGAGATGTAGAGAGAAGTGGCTCAGAAATGGCGTTCAACAGGGCAGGGAGGGAAAGTGGGCTGTGAAGACCTCATAAGTGAGTAACAGCAGTTCACATCTAAACAAACAAGTTCTTTTAATAGCTCTG